CAAGTTTTTAACTTGTACAACTATACAATCTCAGTCTTCTAGCCACAATAATATCGTAACAAAGCAATCACAGGTTGTCGATGGTTTTAAACAAAAATCATTAAAAAAATAAATCAATTTCAATTCTCAATTTTAAAATTATTGTTATATAATCCCTGAATCTTCGTACAAGTTGGTAGCCAGTATATAAGATATCGCTAACCAAAGGAATATGTATACAAAAATACATCCAACCAAAAGTAAACGTTTTGATTTGTCTTGCAGAAGACCACTATACAGCATAAAATATAACTGAAATATTAGAAAAATAAATTATTAAATTATTATTAAGAAGTTTCTTTTTCAGTTTTATCTATAAATTGGAATGTAAGGATTTAAAACATTTCTAAGAAGTAATTTGATCATTATTATTATGTAGGGTCGTAGTAACGAAAGGCAAACCTTTTCAAGTATATGTATTAATAATTAAATTTGATTGAAATTCTATTTAACCCCATTAAAATGTACTTTAAACCATTTTCTAAAATCCTTCAGGTGTCATATCTAACGTTAGAATGCAAAATTCACTTTGACTGACTGCGTTACATAATTTTATTTATCTACGACTGCTTGGATAAGTCATCATTACCGCACTCATTTGAGGTGATTTGAGTTACGTATTGAAGTTCATTAGTGCGGTAATCTGGTTTCATTACGTAACGCATTTTTAACCTAATCAGAACAGACTTAATTTATTGAAACGAGCAACAATACAAAAGAAAAAGTGCTATCTACTTACAGAGAAACAATACTATTTATTATAAACATTGTTATGTTTTTACATTTCAAAACACTTATTCCAGATGAGTAAACATGTTGAAACTGACAATTCAAAATTGACAACAATCATTTCAAAATATTTTTATAAATGTTAAATAGACTTTTTTAAAGAAATTGACTTTTTAGTAATTTTTAGCAATCGTAGATAAAATGCTGTATATCACACGTGGGCTAGAGCATTATTACAGTACTCGTGTGATTACACGACTCGGTCTACGACCTCGTCGTGCAATTCTCCACACTCGTACTGTAATTATGTTTCTAGCCCACTTGTAATATAAATAATTATTAATGGGTTTTTTGTGGTAATAAGGCCCTTGGTACAAATATCTAAAATACAAATTATTTTATAATAAACTAATAATGTTTCAGAATTAGCACATTGTTTTAACACTTGTATATTATTACATTTTATTATCTTATTGCAATGAGTAGAAAAATCAACAATCGCAACAGAATAATAAAAGCAAGTGGAGTTTATACATAAATAATACCCTGCTGGGTAAGAAACACACCAAGTTGGTTGGAAACTTGGACATCCTTAGATAGACACAAGCCAAAAATAGGAGCTGCAGAAATGAAGTATCTCCGCAAAATAGTAGGAAAAATCAGAGAAGAGTACGAAACAAGAGCGTCAAAAAAGAACTAAGCTTGAGAGCTCTAATAGAGGAGATAGAATAGTAATAGCTGAAGGGGTATAGTCACCTTGTTCAAATAGATGAAGAAAGAATACCAAAGAAAATTTTCAATACGAAACCAGAAGAAAGAAGGAAACAATAGAGGAAGTGACGATTAAAAGCGAGATAAGTGTAACCAACGTACGAAGAATGGCTAGAAATAGGAACACCTCCTGTAGAAGATGAATCCGAGTCCCAACACTGTAACAAGTAGAATGGAGGCAAAAGAAAAAGAAGAATTAATCATCAAAATAGAATTACTGACAGGAACTACTTAGATATTATTACAACAATAATCAAAAAATGAGAAGGAAAGTTACCGTATTTGTGACTCTGGATTCTATAATTTTTGACCATATATCCAGATATTCCTGAATGTGTGTACTTGCTGGATTTTAAAAAGCGTTTGATTACGTTCTCCACAATCATCTTAAAACTTCAAAGGGTAAAAACGAAAGAAGAAAATCAGAATAATAAAAAACCTTTATTTTAATCAGTCGGCTAGGCTAGAGTATAAGTAGAGAACAAATTTTCAGAGGAGGCAAGACATCATACAAGATTGGCAGAGCAAACAGCAATTGAAGTGAAAATAAACACGAAGACGATCAACAACAACAGATACGCGGACGATACTATACTTATAGGAGAATCCTTAGTAAGACTGCAAAGACTAATGTAGGGTAGTGGTAATAAGTGAAGACAAAGGACTCACACTGACTACTAAGAAGATCTAATTTATGATTATCTCAAAGTTATAACAGCAACAAGAACAACTGCGAATTAAAGGAGAGCTAGTGGATAGGGTCGGCAGGTACAAGTACTTGGGAACAATTGTGAATGAAAACAATGAATATACGCAGGAAACAAGATCAAGAATTGGACAAGCTAGAACTGTCTTCAATAAAATGAGGAACGTATTATACAGCAACGACCTTAGCCGACATCTCAAGATTAAAATGCTAAAATGCCACGTGTTTCCACTGCTTTTATATGCTATGAAATTGTGGACACTTAACCAGCTTGAAGCCTTTGAAGTGTTATAGAAGAGTTCTGAGAATAACCTGGGTGAGCAGAACAACAAACGCGGAGGTATTAGGAAGATTGGACAAAGAAATAGAAATTGTCAACACAATTAAAATTAGAAAAGCTAGGCTAACGCGTTATGTTTCCAAGCAAAATCATTGATATTCGGGCTCCATTAGGTAGAATTGTGGAACCATTGCTACAAACTTTTTTTACTGATGATATAATATTCTTATGTGCAGACAAGGACATAGAAGTGTTAGCAAAAGATTGAGCAAAAATAGAACATAAAACAGTTAGTTTGCTAGTTAGATGTAAATAAATAAAAAATTAAAGTCAAGGAGCGTATTTGTTAGTTGTATTTTTTAGGAGTGGACTGATGACAGCACTTATGGCAGCGTGATTAAAAATGAGGACAACTATAACATTAATAATATTGAAGACAAAGAATATGAAGACGGTTATTTTAAACTAATTGGAGACGGTGAACAAATATCTTTAAATTAAATAGAAGTTTCACAAAAGGTAACCCAAGTACAAAAGATTGTCAAGTTATCTCAGTGCCATTCAGCACGAAACAAATAATAGTTTGTAAACTTGATGAGCGCATTGCTCAAAGCTCAGAAAACCGTGATTGTCGATCCATGTCGATGTACCTGAGTGATCATCAATGACTTGAGTACCAGGTCGAACGTTTAATACTTTAATCTCTAAAATAGAAAATTAAGAAGAAGTACTGATGTTACTTGGATTATATCAGTAGTAAGCTATATATTCTTTTAATAAATTCTCTTGGTTTATTAAAATATAGTTTAAACAATCCACCATTCTTGATCATTAGTTGTACCTATAATTAATTGAATAATGCCTTAATCATGAACGATTTATGGCGAGCAATAATGCACTATACTTAATTTTACCATTTACATTATTACAGTGAACTGAAATTTTAATCATGAAATAATTTACAGAATATACAATAGTGTATGTTCAGTTGCCTATTTAGAAGCACTCAAAACAATTTACTTAAGTGCATGTCCAAATCTTAGATCATACGCTTTTCGAGCGATGATTCAATGTAACTTCAATAGTAAGTAGTTCAATGTATTACAATAGTCTATTTTTAAAAACAATTAAGTATTAAAATTCAACAAAAGACAAAATGTTGCCTTGTAACATTTCGTTTAACTCGCTTTTTTAAAAATTACATCAAGGAATACATTTGTTAATATATATTGTTATTAAACTGGAGATATAAAACAGCGTGTTCAACCTGGGAGTTTTCTTTAATTTCTTACTAACTATAAAAAACATTAATCATAAAAATCACGTTATTATGGCTCATTAAAATTGGTATTAACAAAATAAGATGCAAATCTCAATTATTATCTGAAATGTAAGTGTTTAAAGTTTGCCTCGTTCTTTAACGGTAAAATTTTATATATTTAAATTTTATTTATATTTAAATTTGTGAAAAATCAAGTTCTTTGGAAATTCCTTTGCAATTTTTACAAATCATGATGTAAATTGCATAATTTTTAATGCGATACTTGGTTTTTGAAAATGTTGTTTCCTTCAACAATTTTGAATTTGTTTGATAATGTTAAAACTAACATTAAATGTTTGTGATAAACCGATTTTTAGATAACTTCTAAAAAATTTTAAACAATCTTTCTTAATAAATAAAAACCCCACAAATATTATTAAATCGTCTCCGAGTTATGTAACGCAGTCACAATGTTAATTTGAGTAAATTTCAATGGGGAATTTTTTATTTATATATAGGGAATTATATCACAGGTAATTTACAAAATGTGCAATAAAATCCCATGAAAATTCATGTAAATAATGACGGTTTACCCCTCGTATATCAATAATAATTATAATACCAAAAAGTCTTTTATAACCAATAAAAAAAATTTCAAAAATTAAAATTTCCATCTTGTAAAGGTACAAATATATCTTAAAATTAACTTTGTAAATGTACATAATATTAAATATTGATAAATATTTAAAAATTTGCCTTAATCTAACATTTGCGTTTCTAAAATCTCGTTTATCAACTAAATACATAAAAAATTCTAACCTTTTTTTCATTTATTGTCCGTAGTCTCGCCCTGCTCACTACGACCCTGCAGAAAATCGTGTCAACTAAGTGATTTGTACGATGGATAAGACCTGGACGCTTGCGGCTAAAAATTACACACTCACAGCAAAAAGTAAGTCTTAAATACTGTAAAATATAAGTCTAAATTGTATAGGTGTAAATAACATAACGTGAAAAGGAACATAACGTAACGTAATTACTTATTATACATACGCGCGATTTTACAAAATGTTCACAAACTTATTTACATTTCGACTAATAACAAAAATGTTCACTTTCTTCTAAAATGAAACAAGCATACTAAATAATTTTCTTCATTGAAGAAAATTATTGTACATTTGTTTGGTTGTTTTTTTTTGCTTAGTTATTATAATACTCTTAATATGTTAAAATTGAAGTATTTTGATGATGAAAGAAATGAAAGAGGATTGATGAACAAAAAATATCAATTCTTTGACATCTCTGATGTAAGATCGGAAGCGCTGCTAGAAATATGCGTATCGGCATCTCCTACCTTTCGTCTTCTTACAGACCATTCGACTAATACAAACGTTACAGTTCCAAAAACAGCCATAGCCAATAATATACCTAATTGAATATAAAGTCCAATGTATGAAGAGTAGAAAAATCCTGCTGCAGCTCCAATTGACTAAATAAAAAATAAATCAACATTAATTTTTTTATTAATACATTTCTTAATTAACTTACCTGTGTAAATTTAAAAATAGCAAAAGCTGAGGCACTGTCAAAGTGGAAGACATCGCCCAAAATCGAATAGACTTGAGTATTGAAACAAGCGTCACCCAACCCGAGTAAAAATGAGCAAAATAAAGCTAAATAAGCATTCGTTGCGATGAAAGCATCTTCGTCGTTGCTGATCATTGGAGATGAATTTGGTAAATTGAGAAATATTAAAAAGAAAGCTATAACATGGACAATAAAACCTCCCACTACAATTGGATCTCGACCACATTTTGTTGTTTTTGCCCCCAAAATACCAAAAACTGCACCACCTACAACAAAAAAAAACTTAGTTAAGTAAATATAATTAAACCTCCATATAACGGATTTATACAGGGAAGGGAGTATCAAATTCATCCAACAAATTCGGGCAGCTAGCAACACCGTTGCGTTCAGTCTACCTGACTTTATATTTGTACCAAGGAAGATAGAATCTGAGTGCTACATCCCGGGAGCAGGTGCATAGCTCGAAGGGCACGCATAAGTAAGCAACTACTATTTCATACTTGGAATTAGCAAATACTTAATTTATTCTATTCGTGTTTTATAATATTGTTAGTTTGAGATTTAAGGTTCATAATATAAAAGAAGATCTTAATCGAGCTTAGCCGTGCTTCCCTTAAGACGAATGTTTAAGAATTAAACCCGAATGTTTCTACTTACTAGAGCTAACACTAGCACTAGAAATAACACTAGACCTAGAACTAGAAACATTCGGGTTTAGCCGTCTTAAAAGACGTACGGCTAAACCCGAATGTTACTAGTTCTATAAGTCTAGTGTTAGTTCTACTTTTAGTTCAATAAAAATATATCGGTTACTGTATCTATTTTAGATAACAATGAATTATCTTTTTAATGTTTTTCTTTTCAATCCCCATTGAGGTTGAAAAAAAGTATGGAAGAAAAGGTGTTATGATAATACTAATTATGTCTACAATTAACACAGTTTATAAAACGTCAAGGCAAAATTCCTTAGATAGATTAACTTCGTTTATCATACAAACAATTGTTCGCAAAACAATCATGTACAATTTCCTCACTTTTCTATATGTCTCGTTATTACAAAAAAAGGCTGGAATCCAGTTTTTCTTTAGCTCTTATTTTGTAACACCTTTTCATAATTAGCTTACCTAATACTTCTCCAACTCCAATAAAAATACCATGTAGTCCAACCAATTGAGTAGCGATATCACCTAATTTTCTCGTAAATCCTAAACAAGTTCCGTAAACTCCACTGAAGAAAGACAATTCAATTCCTAAAAATTAACGATTAATTAACATAAATAAAATTATATGTTTATTTGGTTTTGGATATGAGTACATAAAGAATGTTTTTGGGTTAATTTTAAGTTTAAAAGTTTTTAGGTTAAAAATACATTAAAGCAAACTTTCTTTCTCATATTCAAAAGGTGAAATTTACCAGTATAAAGAAAAGTTACACAAAGTAGTAACATATTCTTCGTAAAAAACATTTTTCCAGCATCTTTTAATGCTTGTAACGCTGTTCTATTTTCATTAACAACCAATTCAGTGTCATCATTTCTTGGTTTTGGCAAAAACAAGATTACCAAAGATCCGCCGGCGCAAATAACGGATAAAACAGTAACGACGATTACTCTTGTTTCTGTATCTATTCTATCTTTGCCTTGGAATTGGAAAAAGACGAATAAATTTCCGAAAAACATACTAAAACAAATAAAAACAATTTAAAATATATTAGACGCAATTTAAATAAAAATATCAAACAGCTTTTATAATCATTATTTTTTGTGACAAATTCTTTCCATCTCAATAAAATATAAAAATAATGCTTTATTAATTTTTAATTTCATGCTTGAATGCGTACTATCACTCAAACAATCCGATTTGATTGCGTAAGAATGCTAAGTAAGGTGAGGTTCAAACAAAAAATAAAAAAAATTACCTCGCTTGTAACATAGCCCAGAAAACTCCGGAGTTCCGGGATATAGTAGCACTGGACGAATTCAATGTTAAATAATTCCCCTGACCCGTCCATAATAACGCCGCTCCAATGCCAACCACTGCACTCATACCGTACAATGTCCACGTATAAGGTCTCAAGAACGTTAAAATAATCCCCCTGAAAATAACATGAGGTTTAATAAATAAATATTTATTATTTATATTAAAAAGTGTTAAATAGAAACCGGAAAGAATTATTGTAGTACATACACGTAGGTGATGGCCCCGATGAACATTGAAAATTTTGGTCCTACAAGGCTGATTACTGATGGGGCTGACCAATTAAACACGGAAAATGTTACGTAAATTATTGCCAAGGAAATGTAACCATCGCCGGTGAAGTCATCGTATTCTTCTTGAGCACTAGCTAAAATAATTTTCTGAAAATAAAATAAATATTGGTTAATGTTTTGGAAAAAAATTATTATTAACTAATTATTATGTACTAATTAAAATTTAAAAGTCTTAAAAAACGAAGTTGTTTTTTAGATATATGAAATATTTCTTCTGATTCATTATAAAATTTTGGAATGTAGAGATAAATTTTAATTTAGTTATTTGAAAAATGTATGTTGACTCAAAATTAAATTCTTTAAAAATACCCTAATGTTATGAATTATTTACTCTAATTATAAAATAATCGTAGTTTTACTTTCCGGTATATACAAAGTACATAACGACTTGGGTTTTTATATGAACTTGGGTTTGTTCAGGAATTGCATTTTGTGCTGAAACCTTTAAAACAGCAATTTGAATCCCGAGCAAGTCATAATCAATCTCGTTTGTATCTTTTAGATGGCCAATTCTATGGGACGCTCTGTATATAAAAATAAATCTTGAGTTCTGACGTAGGTCTGTTGTTTAATCCCAATCATACTTTGTTAAAATAAAATAAAACAATAATCATCACAAATTATCTGTTAGCATAAAAGTACAAAGCAGATTCAACACATAAATCGTGAAGATGTTTGTTTAACCCCGAACAAACTCGATTAATTTAAGCAGCAATACTGAGATCTCAATATCACAATATTATCAGTAATGCATTAAAAGGCAAAAACACTGAACAAAACGAACTCATTTAAAGTAAACCCCATTGTTATTATTAGAAAATAATGAAAATATGGCTGACGAAGTAATTGCAAGATGACAACCATATAACGTTTTTAATTTTCTGATATGCACTAAAAATGATTTAATGATTTAACAAACAACAATATCGTTTTTGGGCTGGTTGCGTTTCTTTAATTGGTTCCTAATAATATGGTTATAGACTACCTTTATTTTCAACATGACGGCGCTACATACTATATAAATCGTGAAATAATCACATTATTACGTTAAAAATTTATTGAATATGGGATTCATCCTAACGAAGACCTTAATTACGGAAAAAATAATATATACTTTAGTAGCTAATTATATGGAAATAAATTTCTTTAATTCCTCTGCTCAATCATTGGAAATAGTGGCTATTCCTGGCATGTATTGTTGTCTTGTTGAAATCTATTTTATAAAGCCGTTCTGTATGGTAATACTCTGCCACTGCTGTTAATTCTACAATTTATTTTCTGATTCCGCACCTGTCTATTTATTGCCGCCTTTATACACACTGAAATACCTAGAAGATCACATACATTCTCCTGTATTTCACCCTCCCATCATTTCCAAGATCTCCCCACTGGACTTTTCCCGTACATGAGGCTGCCCAAGTACCTCTTTTGCAACCGTTATTCTCGCCACATATCCTGCTCTCTGCAACTGCCGTAGTCTGATAAATTCTGTGAGTGGGTATTCTTTAAAAAGATATACAGTTCGTGATTAAACTGGTCTTTCCAGACATTATTATCCTTAACTGCACTAAGCATGTATTTCTCCCTTTCCGGTTAACTCCACGCGTTTATAACAGGCCTTACTACTATTGGCCCCTTTTTTCTATTAATGTTTTGTTTTATACCTGTCAATCTCCAGGTTGATACGTTTGACAGTACATGTCTTGCCACGTCCTCCCTCTGGCTCACGATATTAATGTCATCTGCTTAGGCAACCATTTAAAGGATCTATTGGTTAGCAGGTTTTCCTTTCCGATATCTAACTGTCTTATTATGTATTCAAGATTCCCTAGCTACAAAAAGTTGATCCATCGAGAACCTGTCATGTATGAATCCCGCTTGATATTCGCCAATTATATTTTCTGCCAGGGGTTGTAGACGTTCGTTAATAATATATGTAAGCATTTTGTTATAGAAGAGTTATTCCGCGATACTTATCAATTTTTAGTTTGTCTCCCTTTTTATAGATGAAGCATATAATGTTTTATCTCAATCGTCGGCAATTGCCTCTTCCATGGATAAATTTTCCTAGGTGTTCACCACCTAATTTATAGATCCGAGGGTATTTTATCTATTCCTGGTGCCTTGTTATTTTTTGGACCTTCATTGCTTGTTCGACGTCTGCTAGTATTGAAATGTAGCCTGATCTTTCCTCTCCATCAGCGCTCATATTTATGTGTTGACTGCTTTCAGTTTCCTCTTGCGTTGCATGTAGTGTTTGGAAAAATGTTTCCAGATGCTTTTCATCTTTTGATGGTATATTCCTTTCTACAAATATTTATTTAGGATTCTCTTTCATGCTTTTCAGGATCATTATCTCTAAAGCCTTCTTTCATTTTTGTAGGTCTTTCTAATCATTTCATAATCATCCGTGGGGTCCTTTTTAGTTATCCTATTTCAGTGTTCTTTCTTATACTGTGCAAAGCTTTTCCTTTTACCAACTGTTAAGTTCCGTTTTTTTGGCAGTCAGGTTGGAGCGACATCGAAATTGAGTCCCCTAGCTCGTTTCTTCATTTGTTAGTGGAACGCAAGAAGGAATTAATTGAAGATTCTTCGAGCTGTAACTGATCGATAAAAACTTCATCACACCGCCACTCAGAAGAAAAGATCTCATTAATTCGCATTCTTCTCTAAAAAGTGAAGAGATTATACGACGGGGGTGATTTGAAGAATAATAAAGGACTTCTAAAGGATGTAGTTCCAAGGATTGGTTATATACCTAAGCATATCTAATGAGAAGAAGTAACACAACAGATACGTAGTAAACCTGTTGGTTTCAACTCTTTTCCCTTTGTTTTAGGTGTGCAGGAACGAATGTCCAGGCGACTGAAGAAGGACGTATCATGATGAGTTATAAGAGAAAAATGAGCAAAAAGGATAATATGAAACTCTTAAGAATAGAGGATCAAACATTTAATTTAATAGTAATGTTGCTGCAACGGGATAACTTGTATTCACATTCATATATTAATTCGAACTGTACTTATAAATATTTTCAATATTTATAATTTTATCAACGATGTAACATATAAACAAAAGTAAATATTATTATAAGGTTATGTCCTAGAAATAACATCTACGACCCTCATATCTGAAAAACTTGAAATCGTTTACATAAATTTTAAATAAACAAGATTTCACCGCTGAGGTTATCAGATAAAATTTTATAAAATCCACTTAAATTCAACTTGCACCCAGGTTCGTCTTTTATGCGACATTTAAGTAACCTTTTTTGATTATAAACAACCAACAGTTGAAGGATATTGGTATAACTACTTTACACAAAAATTCTCTCCAAGCAGGAAATCCGCGTTACCCTGTTGCATGTTATCGTCAAATACGGTAAAATTTCAAACAATTATCTTTTTTCTATCGGGACTTTCGGTTTCATCGCGTGAACCCAATAACGTACGTAAAGGTCGATTTCGAACGGTATGCTGAATGAAAACGTCACGAACTACTTTCACCGCGTTTGAAGAAACGTCTGACGAAACAGAGTTTTGGTTTCGTGTATAGTTGTATCTTTTCACTATTTAATGGGCAAGAACTGACGTTTCGTGGGCTCGCCTTCATCGTAAAACGACCTCTTGTTTACGTTTTTAAACCGTTGAGAATCGACCACGGGATCGCTGCCCTCAAGTTTATTGTCGCAACTTTTGTAATTTTCCATTACGTGTAAATTAACCATAACGATCATAACAATTTTCATATTTTATGCTAAATGCAATCAAATAACCATATAATTTACATTTTACTTGAAACACTTTCAATATATTTGGAGTAATAAATTAAATCACCTACATAAATTAGCTGTTTATTTATTTAGTGGGAATTACCTCGTTAACACAGGTTGTTCGTAAAAGACGTCAACCAACTTATTCTTCGCGGAATTTCGAATGTTAAAAGTAAATAACCGCAGTTTCTTTGTTACTTTCAACGTCATTTGAGTTTCAAAATAGTGAAAATCAATTTATAATGACAAAAAATATTTAGAATAATGGTATGACAAAAAATGGCAAGGTTAAATGCGAAAGTGAAACTAGTGTCTGTCGATCTTTTCATTGACATTGAACTTTTTCAATAATACATCCCGCACATTCCAGCAGAGACAAGTAGTCGTAAAAACGCGAAAGAACGGAGGAAAAGGTCACGTTTGCGCAATGATTTGAAAATTATCATCAGATTTAGGTTTCTAAAAAAGTTACGTTAAACCACAACTATTTCCAATTTTCAAATTCTTTAAAACGATTTGCGCAATTTCGCCGTTAACTTAGCATTTAAATACTTTTCATTGGAGACAATTTTTAACAGCTTTTTTGTATAATTAATTTAAAAAATTCTTACGTTTAAGAATTTAGCCCAAGAAAAGCCCATAATCAAATAAACCAAAAATAAAAAATTATTGAATGTTAAACTTTATTACAGATTCGAATTCCGACAAAAAATGTAATAATATTTTATTAATTTATGTAAGGGGTTAACATCAAAAAAGTCTATATAAAACAATAAATTGATTTTTAATGACCATGATAAATCAATTTAGTTATATTTTTTATATTAGACCGACAAAAGTTATTGAAGTAATTAGAAGTGAATGATGCATCATAAAACACCTTGACATTTTTATTAATGCTAAAATAACTGCGCCACATATTTATCAGCAATAACCCAATAAACGTCAATTTATACTATAATGAGCTTTAAAAAAATTGATTACAAACAAAATATTAACTAAATATTTATGAATGATAGCGATAACTGATTGTTACAAAATATAGTACAGATATTATCAAAATAATAAACCATCAAAACATCCTTTTCGATGAATCTACAAATAATAGGATGTTTCAGTTATCTATCGCTTATCATCTATCGATAAAATTTTTAAAATGAACACAAAGGTTCCTAAAAATATGGGGTGGAAAACATTATTTAAAATATTATAACAATTTAACTGAAGCATAGCATAACCTCAATAACAAAAAGAGTATAGTTAAAATACTTTAAAAAATACAAACAATCACAAAGAAACTACGCTTTTATCTACC